CACGTATCAGCTAGAGAAGAAGTGAAAGTATAACGTTTGAAATCACAGGATTTTTTTTTCTTTTCTACTCATTACAGTAGTTTCTCAAAGTGTTGTTATCTAGTTAACCATAAAAGTCATATGTGAAGTGTTCTTAAAATATAGATTCCTGGGCTCTAACCCAGACCTACTGAGTCAAAGCTTTGGGGACTATATGCTGGACTCTTGGTTATTTCAAGCTTTATAGGCAATTCATCATGGATTTTAGTCCATGGGAGCAAATACACATTGAGTGCTTATGAGAGAGTGCTAGGCACTTAGACTAGGTATTAATTTAGAGAAGCAAAAATATGTGGTATCTTGTCCTCATCTTATAACATAGTATCTCTTGCAAGAAATGGATACTTTTAAAAGCCCACAAATTTAAAAAGCCCAAACCATAATAATAACAAATTCTTTTTTTAATTAAAGAATTATTATGGGACTAGCAGTTGCATAATGGCTATGTTGCTGGACTCCCATGTAGTTGACTGTGGTTCAAGTCCCGGACCCGGTGGCTTAAACTCACGCCAGGCGCATATGTGTGTGTGCCCAAGATCCCAAGAGGAGAATGGAGGAGAAGGGATTGTGGTGTGGCCATCCCCCCTGGGGGTGATTTCTCACTTTCTGTTTCTCTGTCTCTCTCTTTCTGGTGAGCGCATGTGCCCTATAGCAAAAACCTCTCCAAGAAAAAATAAAGAATTATTTATTTAATTTTATTTATTCATTCAATCATTTTCATTTGACCAGAGAAAGACAGAGAGAAGGAAAGTGAGGAAGCAAGCCACCAGGTCTGGGACTTGAACCATTGTCAACTTTGTGGGAGTATCCAGTGCCTTAACCACTACGCCACCTGCTGGCCACAATAATAGCAAATTCTTAATACAAAAAAAAAGTAAAGGTTTTGGGAACCAGCAGTTAGCGTAATGGCTATGTCGCTGGACTCCCACGTAGTTGACCGCGGTTTGTGTCCCGGACCCGGTGGCTTAAAATTCATGCCGGGCGTGTGTGCGTGCGTGCCCAAGATCCTGAGAGGAGAATGGAGGAGAAGGGATTGTGGCGTGACCATCCCCCCTGGGGGGTGATTTCTCGCTTTCTGTCTCTATGTCTCTCTCTGTCTGTCTGGCGAGTGCACGCGCCCTACAGTGAAACTCTCTCCAAAAAAAAAAAAAAGTAAAGGTTTTGATTAGAAATTATTATCTGATGGGCTAGAAGGGAGTAGTGTAGATTTCAACTCCCTGAAGAATTAGGGAAGGCTTTAGTAAGAGAGCCTCATTTTAAAGACTTGGAGGAAGAGTGGAAGTTTGAATGAAGATAAAAGTGTATATATGCCTTAGAAGAAATATCATAAAGGGGGAAAGAATGTGTGTCCTCAGAAAATTAAAGAAGGGGAGAGGTAACAGAGTGGTAGGAGCAGGATGAAACAAGGAACGATGACAAGGGAACCCTTGCTTAGCAACTGCTGGTTTAATAGAGAGTTATGATGAAGGACATAAGCTGTGTGTTACTGGAGAAAAATAAGTAAGAAATATGAATTTTCTTGGAGCATCATCTTTTGCTTCAGTAGGAAGCCCAGAGTTGGACCTCCTTCCAAAATAAGCCATTGTTGACAGGAAAAAGGCAAATCCCTTCAGGAATTGTCAGATTGTTGGCATCCTGTGGGCACCATGATAGAGCTCATGAGAGGCAGTCAGTAAGTCCCGGCTGATCTGGAACACACCTACTCAGAAGAGCTCTGAGGTGACCAGGCACGGAGGCCTTCAAGTGTTTTCCTAATAAAATAGACGCTGCAGAGTCAGACAGAAAATAAACTCTTGGAAGCAAAGGGAGCATGCACACTTTAGCAGAATATGCCATTAGCACTTTCCCTTTTCTATAAATAGTAGCTCTAAATACAACTTAACAAGAGCCTTCAATGTATGTGATGCTACTAAATGTTTTACACATATTATTTGAACCCTCTCAGCGAGACTGCTAGGTAAACATTGCATCATCAAAAAAAGTCATGACGTATTTTTCTACACAAAAATGTGTCGTAACTTTTCAGATGACCTAATAGTATCATCCCCTTTATGAAGAGGAAGCTAAGGCTCAGGAATTAAGCAACTTGTCTAAAAACTCATAGTTCGAAGTATAAGACACTGGATTTATGCCCAAGTATCTATGCATGCAAACTTTTCAACACTGTATGCCATTATCTTTTGTATTATTTTCCTATTACTATTATAACGAATTACCAAAAACCTAGTGTCTTTAAACAGAAATCTATTCTCTCTTCTCTTATAATTCTAGAGTCTAAAGTGTGAGGTAGATCCACAGGGCACAATTTCTTCTAGAGACTTCAGGGGAGAATGGGTTTTCTTACTCTTTTCCAACTTCCAAGCTCTCTGATGCAAGGTCTGCTATTAGCCTGATAGGATATCCTTTGTAGATAACTTGTTGTTTCTCTCTTGCCAATCTGAGTACCTTATCTTTATGGTTTTGGTCAATCTGTCTATAATGTGTCTTGGAGAAGATCTTGGGTTGATTCTATTTGGGATCCGATGTATTTCTTAGGTCTGGATCTTTGAATGCCTCTCTAGGTTTGAAAAGTTTTCTTCCAGGATTTCATGGAATAAATTATCTATGTTCTTATTAGTCTCTTCACCTGCTGGGATGCCAATTACCCGGATGTTTGGACATTTGATGGTATATAGTATTTCTCATATGTTATTCTCTTTTTTGGGACTATTTTCTCAGTCTTTGTGGTGGATTTTTCTAGGCCAACAATTCTGTTTTCTACATCTGAGATTCAATGTTCTGTATGATCTATTCTGCTTTTAATACCTTCAAGGCAGGTTTTGATTTCCTGCTGTATTACGGCTTTCATCTCAAACAGTTCCATTTGGTTCTTTTTTATGATGTGTATTTCCTCTTTCAGATCATGCAAGAATTTCCTCACCTCCTAGAACTCCTCTGCTCTATTCTCCTGTCTCTTCTGGAGTTCATTGTCTCTCTTCTCTTGCATCTCTCTTAACTTTGTCACTATGAATATTCTAAATTCTTTATCAGACATTTCCATGATTTCCATTAAACTGTCTATGGATGAAGAAGAGTTATTCTTTTCCCTTGGAGGGAGAAGTATTATTTTGTTTTCTCATATTTCTTGTGCCTCCGCAGTGATTTCTAGTCATCTGATGGGTTATGCTACCCTTCTTTCTAATCTCTAGAAGTTCAATCTGAGCATTCAGGGGCATGCAGGGAGAAGTGATCTGCAATTCTCTTTGCCATTCCATTTTTATTCCTTGGTGCATCAATTTCAGTGGGTATTGAGGAGTATGTTGACCCTGATAGTATTTGGACGTTTGGCTGTGGTTCTCTTAGGTCTGTCTAGAAACTCAGTGGATGGAGATTGAGCAGCAAAGTGATGAGGTAAAAGAAAAAGAATAAGAAAACAGAGAAGCGGGGGAAGGAAAGGGAGAGAGAGAGAGAGAGAGAAAGAAGAAAAGAAAAACAGAAAAAAAAACAACTAAAAAATTTTTTTAAAAAAGCAAAACAATAAAAAGCATGCGGCATGCAAGCATGCGGCGTGCAAGCATGCTATGTACAAGCACTGGCTTTCAGCTGCAGTGGTGGAGTCTTCTTTTGAGGGTCTGCCCTTTGCCTCTCCTAGATGGGAAAGGGCATTATTAGCAAGATAAAGAAGGATCTCAAAGCCAAAAGAATACTTTACCTTAAAAATTTTTTAAAAGGAAAAATTATCAAAAAATGAGAAGACAGAGAGGGCAAAGAGAGACAGAGACAAGGATAGAAAGGGTACCCTACTACTCAAGACTGGGGGCTCTTAGAGGCTGAATTATCAGCAGACAATCTTCCTTTTTCTTATTTCCTGAAAGCACTAGTTCTTGGTTGCAATGGAGGAGTCTTCTTCTGAAGGCTTGCCCCTTGCATAAAAACAGACAGATTTACAAGGAAAAATAGACAAATACACAATAAAATGGAATATTTTAACATAACCCTTTTTGTATCTGGCAGAATAAGCAAATGTCCTACAATTCATATGCTTAGCAGGTTTGAGCAAATATTATAAACAGATTATAACTCACTGACAGGTCCACTACTGTAGCATAGTTTTTACAAGTACACTTGCTACAATTAGCACAGATGATGGGTCATGACACAAGTCTCAATCAATTTCAAAAATCAATAATAAATACACAGCTAAAAATTTTCTCTAATGTTTGTAAATATTTCTTTTCTTTTTTAAAAATTTTTGAGCCAATATATGTTTACCGGCCACATAATATTTCATTGTTTGGGTGTATCATCATTTATCTACTCAATTGTTCATTGCAGGGAACCTCAGCATTTTCTCTGGGTCCAGGACTCAAACCACAGTTGACTATATAGGAATCCAGTGACATAACCATTACACCATCTGTTGGTCCCTCCATTCTCTTTTTTCTTAAAATTTCTTTCTTTCTTTCATGGGTGAAAGAGACAGAGAGAGAGAGATAAAGAGGCCTAAAGATAGTTACTCCCAACAGTATCTTCACACCGTGATCTACCCTTAGCTTCAACCAGTCCCTGGTCATGGGCCCACATGCACCCAGAATGTTCAGGAAGGTCTTTAGATATGAACCCATAACTCCCATGTAGGTCAGTCTCTCAAAGCATTGTGTTACTTCTGCATCACCATCTGGCCCCTCCACAAGTTTTTTGAGTCCCTTTGTGCATGTGTGTGTGTGTGTGTGTGTGTGCGCGCGCATCTGTGTGTGTCTTAGTTGCTTTCAAAACAGCAGGAACTTTTTAAATGGGGAGAGGCTGTCTAAAAATTAATAAGTTTATTTCTAAGGTAGCTACTAAAGGAATTGATCCTTCTACTATTACCAGAGAGTTCTTTTTCTTCTTTGATCCCATATGTAAGGTGTACTGAAGAGAAAGAGGCAGTGGAGTGGAATTTTTTATATTTACCTTGATGTTGCTGTGGTCTTGATCATCAGGTCAATGCCAGGCCCCAGCACAGTTTTCATTCGCCAAGCCTACCACCCTAACTGATGAGTCTGAGTTTCCCATTGGGAAGTCTTTGAAGTATGAATGCCGTCCTGGTTTCTACAGGAGATCATTTTATATCACCTGCCAAAAAAACTCAGTCTGGACAAGTCCTGACTACATGTGTAAACGTAAGTAACTCTGAACTGGGATCTCCTTTGTGTCAGTTAAACATCTGTAAGAGCCAATTCGATTTGTCCAAATTTAGGATCTAAGATACCTATGACAATAAATTTATCCAAGGTATAATACATACAAGTTATTCTTTTTTTTTTTTTTTAGAGAGGTTTTTCGCTATAGGGTGCGTGCGCTCACCAGACAGACAGAGAGAGACATGGAGACAGAAAGCGAGAAATCATCCCCCAGGGGGAATGGTCACGCCGCAATCCCTTCTCCTCCATTCTCCTCTCGGGATCTTGGGAATGCACGCACACGTGCCCGGCGTGAGTTTTAAGTCACCGGGTCCGGGACGCGAACCACAGTCGACTACGTGGGAGTCCAGTGACATGGCCATTACTCTAACTGCTGGTTCCCAACAAGTTATCCTTATAGATCATATCTTATAGCTTAGAGTGCCTCGCATCTTCATTATCAGCTTATTTCATGAGAAATGACCATCATAAGGCATGTTTAAGGGACATCCCCATGCACTAGGGATCTTTCATTTTCACAACTGAAATTAAACAATAGATGACTCAGAAAAGGGAAGAGAAGTGTGTTAAATAACTAAGAGATTAAAAAAATCTAGGCCTTGAGACCTTTAAATAATACTGAGAATGACACTTTGGTTATAAATGAAGCATACATTTTTCTAGGAAGTATAACGTTGGAGGTTTTGAGGTCCCTAAGAGATGCCTGATCCTGAGGCAATCTGGTGAGTTTTCACAAGGAGGCAAAATCTATGGGATTAGAACTTCATATACTTTTCAGTAAGCTACAGACAAGTTGGGACTTTGTGTTTAACAAAAAAGTTCACATTATTCTATTTCCTAAAGAGTATTGGCTCCACGATTCTTTCTTTCCCATAGGTAGATCATGTAATAACCCTCCAGAACCTCTGAATGGCATGGTGCATGTCGACAAAGACATCCTTTTTGGATCAACAATTAATTATTCTTGTAATAATGGGTGAGTTGGCAGCAATGTTTCTTGGTTGAAGAGTTTTAGAACAATAATAATACCTTCTAACCACATCTCAGCTGGGTCAACTAGGCTAATACCATCTAATCTTAAAAGAGTTGAACATAGGTTTATGATTCCTGAAAGAACTAAAAAAAGATGTAATAAAATTAAGGGAAAAATCCATATTCTTGCTGAAAACTAGGGCAGCACACAAAGAGACATGTGAACATGGTGGGAGAGTGTAGTCAAAGCATGTGAACAGTCTTAACCCTGAGTAGACATGGCTAGAAGAAAGGGAAGGCCATGGGGCAGTTCCAAGATAGGACAAATCTCAATGATAATGGCAGTATTAGTTTGCTAGGGCTGTTGTAACAAAGTACCATCATATGGGTGTCTGAAAGCAGGTTAAAAGGTTAGAAATCCAATCAAGGTTTTGGGCAGGTCCGTGCTCCCTCCAAAGTCTCTTAGGGAGGACCTTTCTTTTCCTCACTCAGCTTCTGATAGCCCAGGCCTTCTTTGACATGTGGCAACATAATTCCAATTTCATTTTTTAATTCATTTTTAAAAGTTTATTTATTTCATGAAAAAGAGAGAGAAAAAGGAGAGTACAGAGAGAAAGAAAAAGAGATAGGCATCCCCAACAGGGTCCTCACACTGCAATCCCACCCCAGTCATAGCCAACCTGGATCATGGGCATATGTACACTTGTACCCAGTGTGCCGGAGCACAAACTCAAGACCCTTCTCATGTAGGTCTAATTGTATTGTCATATGCCCCTACTTGGCCCCTTTCACTCCAACTTATGTCTCTGTCTTCATGGTCATTGTCTCTTTGTGTCTTTGCGTGGTGTTCACCTTTTTACATATGTCTATGTCCAAAGTTCTTTCTCTCTTTCTAAGTAAACCAATGTATGCATTATGAGAGTCTCAGAAGAAGCATTATGAGAGTCTCAGAAAGAGAAGGCAGTAGGAAGTTTATTTCCAATTTGGAGAAGTAAATAAATAGTCAGATATCTGAAGCCAAAAGAACCCAAAATAGATGAACTATAAAGAGATTTTTGAGGGCCAGTGGCTGGCATGGTGGTTAAGGTGCTGGATTCAGCCATGGCAGCCAAGCTTCAAGTCCCAGATCCAGTGGCTTGAAAAACACACCAGGTGCACATGAATATATGCCCAAAATCCTGAGAGGAGAATGGAAGAAAAGGGATTGCAGTATGGCCATCCCCCCTAGGGGGTGGTTTCTCCCTTTCCCTTTCTCTGTTTTTCTCTGGTAAGCATGCACATCCTATGAAAAAAAAAAAAAGGAAAAAAAAGAGGTTTTAACCAAGATAAATCATAGTTAAATTCTAAAATGCCAAAGATAAAAGTGAATTTTGAAAGCAGGAAGAGAAATACAGCCTGTCACATATAAAGGAAAGTTCAAATACAGACAGATATTTCCAGTTGAGAAGGCATAAAGAAGAAAATTTAAAAATCTAAAGAAGGATGCAGAATTTTGGAAACTGATCCTGAATTCTCCAAAATTGTAATCTCTGGGAAGCAGCAATTTAAATAAGAAGATTACTTGTGTATTTAGCTATATTTCTTATTCTTTGCCTCTAGCTACCGACTCGTTGGTCACGCCTCTGCTCAATGCATCATCTCAGACAACTCTGTCTCTTGGGATAATGAAGCACCCATCTGTGAGAGTGAGTTAAAATATTCCTCCTGATTTTCCTCTGAGATTATAAACCCTTAATCAAATTCTTGTTGTGCAGACCTGTATAGGTATTTTTATATATGTTATATATTTTTATATCTATCTGTATTATATATATTATGTATGTTATATATATTTAAAAATTTCTATCTATGAACATAGCTCAAAGTGTCATATGAGTGTGTATATGAAATTCTATTAATTTCATTTCTATACATGAAATGGTTGCATATGAACTTACTCAGTTTTAGTAGATATTACTGAAATTTTTTGTAAAGTGTGGGTCCCATTCTGAGGAAGTTCTGTTGTATTGGCTTAGTTACACTAGTGTTTTGCCTACATAGTATTTTATTAAGACAATTTTTGGTGGCATTTATCTTCTAATTGTATACTTCTTAAGATTTTCTTGGTTGGGACCAGCAGATAGCATAATGGTTACGTCACTAGACTCCCATGTAGTCAACCGCAGTTCGAGTCCCAGACCCGAAGACTTAAAACTCACACCAGTCATGTATGTGTGCATGTCCAAGATCCTGAGAGAGGAATGGAAGAGAAGGAATTGCAGTGTGGCCATCCCTGTGGGGGTGATTTTTTGCTTTCTGTCTCTGTCTCTCCAGTGAGTGCACATGCCCTATAGCAAAACTCTCTAAAAAAAAAAAAAAAAAAGATTTATTTGGCAAATCTTGACTTTCTTCACTTCCATATAGAATTTAGAATCAACTTGTAGATTTTCACAAAAAGAATCCTACTTGAAGTTGTATTGGCTTTTTATTGACTCATTAAATAAATTTGTGGACAATTTGAAATTTTATATTTTTAAATTTAAATTCATAAAATGGTAGATCCTTCCATTTCAAAGTCATTCATTTTGTTCAGTGATATTTGCTAGTTTACATGTGCAGAAGTCTTGTACATTTTTTGTTAGATTTAGTCCTAGATATCATTTAAAAACTGCATCCTCTAATTGTTTATTTCTTAGGCATATATTTGACTGTGGACCCAAAAATCTTGCTCAATTTACTTTTAAATTCAATAGCTTGTCTATATCTCTTCTTTTGTATTTGCCGGATAATAGTATCATCTGGAAGCACATATACTTGAAAATTTGATAAAACCTGTCTGTCATATTTTTCTATTCTTAGTAATATATTTGGTCAATTCTAGTTTCTGGATTTTTCAAATGAATATTGATAATTACATTTGCATTTATATCACTTAGATTTTAAAAATGTTTAACAGTTTTACTGACAGTCTCACATATATGCAAATACATTTAAATTGTATTTTCTACTGCTTAAATTTGTTTTCTCTCTTTCCTTATGCTCTTTCTCTTAGCAAAGGTTCTTGTATTTTTTAAAGTTATATTCAGTTAATAACAAAAATGAAAATTAAAGAAGCAAATGGAGGCCCAGTCACAGTGTATACATTGCTAGAATTCTATGTTCCACAGGCCTGGACCACATGAGATGATCTAGTTCAATTCTCAGTCTGACCTAATGGTTGGGTGCAGTGACACGCTGCCTGAAATCCCAGTAACTTAGGAGGTGAGGCAGGAAGATTGTACAGCAGGACCCTGTCTTAAAAAAAAAAAAATCGGGACTAGCAGCTACTGTAATGTCACTGTACTCCCATGTAGTCAACCGTGGTTCGAGTCCCAGATCCAGTGGCTTAAACTCACTTCAGATGCGTGTGAGTGTATGCCCAAGATCTCAAGAGAAGAATGGAGGAGAAGGGATTGCAGTGTGGCCATCCCTTCTGGGGAGTGATTTCTCGCTTTCTATCTCTCTGTCTCTCTCTGTCTTTCTGGCAAGCACCCTCTCCCAATAGCAAAAACCTCTAAAAAAAAAAAAAAAAAAAAAGCAAAAAACGAAAAACCATCAAGTGGAAAAGAAAAGGGGGAAATTGTGCAAACTCTATAATAATATGATTAAAGAGCTATTTAAAGTCAAAAGAATGTATTATATCAATAAATGGAGATGTTTATATGAAATAGCGTAAGTAGAAAAGGCAGACACATGAAATTATACCCACGTAGGTGAAAACTTTGTAAAAACTTATCTACAGGTTCGCAAAGATTAAAAGCAAACAATTAATCTAAAAATAGTTACAGTTAAGTGACTCATTAAATTTTTCTCACTCATTATTTAAATTCACTGTCATTTAACCTGCTGTCCCTTTTTCCAGCTATTCATTGTGGGCCACCCCCAACCATCCCCAATGGAGATTTCCTTAGCACCAACAGAGAATATTTCCAGTACGGAACTGTGGTGACCTACCGCTGCAATCTTGGAAACAGAAGAAAAAAGATGTTTGACCTCGTGGGTGAGGCATCGATCTACTGCACCAGCAATGATAATGATGTTGGCACCTGGAGTGGCCCTGCCCCTCAGTGCATCATCCCTAATAAATGCACGCCTCCAGATGTTGCAAATGGAATAATGGTGTCTGAGAACAGAAGCTTGTTTTCTTTAGATGAGACTGTGGAGTTTAGGTGTCAGCCTGGCTTCGTCATGAAAGGACCGACCAGGGTGCAATGCCAGGCCCTTAATAGATGGCAGCCAGAATTGCCAACCTGCTCCAGGGGTGAGTCTGACTCTGGTGTTGGAGGACCCTCCGAATGGCATGTGTTGTTGAAGGTTGAGGAGATTAGTGTTTGTTCTGGGGAGGGAATGTGTGGTCAGCAAGGTGAGTGAGGGAACAGCAAATTAAGAAAGTGGCAGGGGAGTCAGGCTGTAAAACATAGTACTCTGCACGGCAGGGAAGGATCTGGATTTGGGTCCAGAGACTTCGCGAGTATTCCAGGCACCCACATGCCCATGATCTGAAGCTGGCTGGGACCTGAAATGGATCATGGCATTAAGTTCCTATTGTTGAGGGACCAGCAGTTAGCGTAATGGCTACGTCGCTGGACTCCCATGTAGTAGACCACAGTTCGCATCCCGGACCCAGTGGCTTGAAACTCACACTAGGCGTGTGTGCGTGTGTGCCCAAGATCCCGAAAGGAGAATGGAGGAGAAGGGATTGTGGCGTGGCCATCTCCCCGGGGGGTAATTTCTTGCTTTCTGTCTCTCTGTCTCTCTCTGTCTGGCAAGTACACGCACCCTATAGAAAAAAAAAACTCTCAAAAAAAAGTTTCTATTGTTGGGTGTGCTGTCTCTCTTTCTCTCTTGGAAAAAATAAGTAATCCTTGAAAAGCTGTGTGTGTGTGTGTGCACGTGTGTGTGCATGCATGCACCTACACACGTACGATTAAATTGAACAATGCTAAATCTGAGCAAGCGATGTGATGGTTTCTTGAGATTTGAATGGAAGAGTTCTTTGTGCTTATCAGTACCTCCTCCATTATCTGTCGATGATCCTTGAGTGTAATAATTGCTAGTGCATAATGAGTGATTCCTCTGCTCAGGCACCGTAAAACAGGCTATGTGCATACTTAATCCTTAAAATGAAACTATCAGATAGTTATTATTCTTTCCACATTTTACTGAGAAAATGAATATCAAAGAGGTTAAAAGCATCCCAAGATCAAAGAGATACTACCTTATAGATGGAGGACTGGAAATCAGTCCACCTGACTCCAGAACCTTGGCTCTGTGCTAGACAACATCCAGTCAGGAAACCAAAAACCACCCTAGACACAACCATGAGTGAACGATTTCATGCAGGTAATAAGTTACAAAAATATCAAAGGCCAGGAAAAGCACAAGGAGGAAGACTGTTATCAGAGACCAGAGGGCTGCTATTATTCCCTGATCAGAGCACAGGAGCTTGCACTCCCTGCTGA